GGTACCGAGGATGAAGAGGTCGCAGAGTGGGTGAAGTCGGTGCTTGATCGTAAGAGAAAAGGACTCGACCCCAGTGCCGCGTCACGCCCCGCCCTTCACGCCGCCCCGCTGGATAGTGTCAGCCCGACCGCGAGTCCTGCGGTGGGCTCGGAGAACAGGTTGGAATAGACGGCGATGTCGTTGTAAGAAAAGCCCGAGGAGAACATAGCCCAAGCGGTTGGTGGGGAGGCTGATGATTTCCACAAAATTCCCATGCTGACCGAGCCGGCCTCCGTTGGCCTTTTTTTTCCTTTTCTTCCTATTCACCAACCCCCTACGGATCATTTTCATTTTGTTTTCTCGTTTTCATACCCTCAATCCAAGTATTCTACGTTTGCATCATCAGCATATATCACTGGTTGGCAAGGAGTGTCTCTGCTTTGTTTGACGAGAAATATCTCTTGCCCTCGCGTATCCTCCTCTTTCTTTGAACGGCAAAACACTTACAGCACTCTGGTCGCCCAGTATACGACATGGACGGCGTTCTTCAGACTTGGTCTGCATTTACTTTTGATTTTTGCTCTTTCCGCCCCGAAGGTTGACGCTTATGATGGGAGAATGGGGTCTGTACGTGGCGGGGCGGTCTTCTTGTTATCACTGGAAAGGGATGGGAGGAAGTTTCATGACGTTTATACACGACAGGAAGAATAGTAAGATGAGTAAGACAAAAAGACCACGGTATCTGAAATGATGAGACATGTGTGTTTGTACGTGCTGTGAATGGGAGATTTGGTGGAGTGTGTATGTATCCGTGACGAATTCGCAAAACCGATTATGTGAGCGATGAATTTGATGTTGGCGTGATGGCAATCGAGCTAATTCTTAACACATATACGGTTATAAGGCTTTTGTTTTCACCAGATGGACAAAGTAACATGAGTACTGTGACAATAATTTCAGACAGAATAAGGAACTCGCCGGCCTCACATTTTCAACGTATCGGATTCATCAAGTTTGAGTACTCACATTCCACAGTTACCATCATTGCGTATCGATACCTACATCAAGCGCATGAATTAACGGGTGAGAATAATTCATCGAAATTCCGGACATGGTTGCAGTTCTTCAAGGTGGTGGCATTGCCAGGTCAGCATTTAATGGTATAATTATTTGTATTAAACTGGGCATTGACTATCCGCGGATAGCCTCGCTCAGTCAGGGCATGCCCATGCGCCAAGCCAAAATACGTAGGTGGGTGGATGCGTTGGTTTCAACGCCGCCAGGAATACAAAAAAGAAGAAACAGTCGTAAGTACATCATGCGCTCTGGATATCAACAGTCCTGCCAACTTCCCTTATCCGTCATACCAAACTCCAGTACCAAGGGAATGATCCATCTCGGTTCGTCCGTGTGTGTTTTTCGTTTTTATGTATTTGAATAAGGTTTTAATGTCTTGTAAGTGGTGTCCTACTTCCCGAGGAAGATGGCGATGCGACGAATGATTTAGCTGTAGTCCTCCTTGACACGGTGGCCGGAGTTGACGTCGAAGGATCTGCGGCTGCGCACGCTGCGCTTGCGGCTGAACCTGCTGGGTCCCTTGTGGCCCTTATCGCCGCGGATGCCGATAAAGAAGAAAAAAGTCGCAATGAACAGAGCCGCCCAGGCACCCCAGCTGAAGCCGAATGCGTAGGTACCGATCTCAGCGTCGTGGCCTGCAGCTCGGAATGCGTTACGGGCCTTAACGAAGGTGGCACTGCAGAAAAAGAGTTAGCGTGATGCTTGCTTCAAGATCCGAGCAGGGGAAAAACGTACGTCATGAGAGAGACGGCGATGCTGAGGAAGAACAAGGCGGCGGCTGATACCATGAAGGCCAGCGCGGATCCGAGTCTACCGCAGCAAGCGAGGAAGCTGCTGAACCAGGCGATGACGGTGAAGAACAGGGCGATGAGGTAGGTGACCCAGCCGAAGCGCCACAGGTAGTAAAATTCGGTGGATGTGGTACCGCCACCGTGGCCGCCCTCGAGGGCGGGGGGTACGTTGACCGCGTTTTGGCTCCAGGCCCAGCCGAAGGCCGGGGCGGGCCAGGGACCCCAACAGCCGGTGTTCTCGTCGTTGCAGTAGTAGAAGTAGGTCCATCTCGTCACATCGCGGGCGCCGGTAATGCCTGCCGTGTTGGCTTGGAGGAAGTAGGTTTTGTTCAAGGGTGCGGTGTCTTTGACGCCAGAAAGAATGACGAACATCAAAAGAACAATCGACCCCGAGAGGAAGATGATGGAGGCTAGGCCGAGGCCGGCTTCTGGAATGGGTGTTAGTCGTTGGATTGCGAGGTATTGCGGGGGAGGGAAGACAAGGGAGGAAGGACTCACGTTTTACCATTGTTGCGGCTGTTTGATATGGTCTCTGTTGAGGATGTAGATGCTTTGCGATGGCTGGGGGAGGACTGTTTTCGAGGGTGGTGGTCTGGGATTTGTACTCAGCGGATGTTTTGCCTGACGGGAGCTAGGCGATGTTGCGCAATGGAGTGGATCTTGGGGAGGACGGGGGAGGGGGTAGGGGAGCCGGCACACACGAGTAATTCACGGGTTTGCCTTGGCCTGGAGGGGAGGGTACTCACCGGATTCGCAGAGAATGTTTCAGTTCGGATGGGGGGAGCTAGGACAGCTCTGTGTCTCTTGTTGCTGCGTGTGTTTCTAAGTGATTGCGACCCTCGTTCTCGGCCGAAGATGCTGTTGGTCCCAGAGTGTGGTGAATGGGTAGGGATGGTCGGGTGGTATTGTATTCGAGCCGGATGCTGCTGCTGCTTCTAGGTGTTTCGGCTGGATGAAGCGATGGGACCAGACCGAGATGTTGGAGGATGGGAGAGAAAAAAGAGAGAAGAAGAGGATTGGATGACGGGCGAGCAATCAGATGATGCAAAGCCAGCCCAGGTTACGTGTGCCGGGATGCGAAGCCAAACTAGCGGGGAGAAAGGAACCCCCCTGCTGGTTTTGTTTCTCTGCTCTTTCCCACTGCTTCACCTCGGTCTAGCCTTACTGCCTAGGTCTCTGCTAGTGCAGAGCAGATGGAGGTAGGTACCTTCCAGGTTAGCTTGCAGCTTGGGCAGCTTCGGTGCTGGGATGCACCTAACGACTGGCGGTTTCCCACCGGCGGACAGCGCATCGTGGACCCGACCATGACGACACCACCGAGCCACTGCCGGGCCCACACTGTGGGCAATGCCCTGCTGGACGGGACATGGCACAGTCAGCTTTCAGGCGCAAACAGTGTGAGTGCAGCCTCCACCGCACCACAGAGTCCAGCGTGGAGTCCCTGCTGGGCAACGACAGCACCACCGTCGCTGCCACACCAATGGCTGCTGCCAGCGCAGGGACCACACTGCCATCCATCCTCAAGCGGGTCCAGCCATCTTCCCTGCCCCGACGTCATCCTCTGATCAAAGCGGACCAACACTGTTTTTTTTTGCTCTCCTCTCCTCGCCTGGGTCCTTGTCGTCTGCCTTCTTTCCCCCCTCCAACGGGCCAACCACATCTGGCGCCTCGGAGAAGTGCGTTTGAAGCTGGTCCAAGGTTCACGTTGGATGTTTCCGGCGTGAGCACTACCTTTGAGCTAAAACCGAGTCGTTCGCGACAAGGCTCTGGACATGGCACCATGGGTCATCGAAATAAGGTCGTCGTCCATGACAATTGGGATGGCCGGGACTGACTAGGTTTTGCTGGCGTTCGGATGGACGTCTCGTCTGTTCCCGCTGCTGAGCTCCCGTCTCTTTCAACCTCATCATCCTGCTTCTTCCTCCAGCTCAGGCAGGTGCTCGAGCTTCCGTCTGCCAAAGCGGACGGTTGGCTGTGAACGGATAATCCCATCAACCACCCCATCCCTGGGACGAAAGATCCCCTGCCAGAAGGCTTATCACCTGCACCAGACGCAGGGTCTCGCAGCAGAAAAATATGCACGTCGGCACAGAACATCTTGCTTTCTGCCCTTCTCTTCCAAGGCCAACCGCAGCACCCGCAGCACCCCTGGTCGTTTTGTTGGTGGGATCTTCTCCAGGACCCTTCCACTAGAGCCTGATCTGCGGTGTTCGCGCTGCCAACTACCGCAATCTGCGCTTCCTGACCAAAAACGGCCTCCCGAGATTGCGCCGTCCCCTCTGTTTATTGCGCGGCTTTGAGGTGTACCAGCGTGGCTCAGATGCGGTGTGGTGAGAACACAAAAGTTCTCACCTGTCGCTGTCAGCTCGCACATGGAGGCTGAGCTGCCTGTACTCGCGTCGCCCCGTCCGTCGTCCCAGCCGACCGGGTGACACGAGCCTGACTTTCACTTTGCATCCTGATAGATGCGCTGCCACCTCGGTTTCGGGCATCGCGGGTATTGGTGGCTCGAGGAGACATTGACGCAGCTTTGAGCTGGAGGTATGAAAGAGTAGTGACAAATAAGAAACATCACCCCTGGACTTGTGTCCTTCCGGGCGAGCGCCAGATCGACCGGCAAGACCGGACTACCCACATAGCGCCGTGCCGGCGTCGGCTCAGCGCACTATGGAAGTCTGTAATGACACATGCTCTACTGTTCGAGTCTGTGCATGTCATCATGATGGATGGTTTGGAGATGGCGCATTCTTGGCCCGTTGTGAGACATTGTGTTGACAGCGAATTCACGGGCGTCATTGACAGTCTTGTGTGTCGTGATGATGACTGGCTGAGTCAAGTGCTGCGCTGCTGGAATCGCACTAATGTCTATTTCGATGGCGCCACGAAACATCCTTCTTTGACGGCGTGCTTCCGAGTTGGCATCTTTGAACTTCAGACGGCCGGAGCCGAGTCCCGGGCGCCGGCCGGGTCATCCTGGTCCGGCCTGGTGCGTGTGGCCGGATCGACGCCGCACCCCAGACGTCGCAGGCAGGAAGGTGAACCTTCGTGTAAAACGTCAACATCACACCTGGGAAAGCTTCCAGAATGGCAAAAGCTAATATGTTCCCTTCGAAGTCATAGATACGGAAAGAAACAAAGTATCATATCGTCATCCTAGTAATCAAGATCCCCAGATTCCTCATCCTCCGCGTACTGATCGGTGACTTCCACATACTGGTCAGTAGCTTCCTCACCCCCCTGTGCTTCCGTGGCCTCATCTTCGTCTCCAAATGGAATGAAGAAGATGAGCAGCCCAGCAAGCCATGAAAATTTCTCAGCAGCATCCGCGTATTGCTTCAAACGCTTGCGCTTGCTTTTCGGCCTAGGCCTCACTGCCGTGCCCACATGCCATTCCTCGTTGAAAACTAGCGGGTGCTTCGTTCCATTGCCATCTGTGATAGTAACCGTCAGTGTCCGACGCTCGCAGCTGAGCTTCACCCTGGCAGTCTTCGTCTTGCTGCTCCACATCCATTGCTATTCCATGTTAGAATATCGTCCTCGAAAGCCCAAAAACGAAAAAAAAAAGAAAAGGGAAAGAAAGTATTGAATAACTTGCCTTCCATGGAGCTGAAGCGGCCAGCTTCTTCGTCAAATCGCCCACGATTCTCCTCTGGTTCTCTCTCTCATCCCTTCCGTCTCCCTGGTACCAACTGACAAGTTTGAGATCAGCAATACTACCATCAACCAGCTCAAACTTGACATCTTCCTTTCGACTAAAGCCCTTGATGTCAACAACTTTGCCCTTGTCCAGAAATTTCGTAACCTCAACTTTCCCGTTGGAGTCGTATGCGGCGATGCCGTAAAAGTACCGAGTTTCGTATCGGAAAAGACCCCCTCGGTTAATAGATTCGAGTGCATCGAAGACTAATCCTTTGCTGACAGCAAGCTCGGACTTTTCTGCCGTCACAACATCACCAAAGGTTCGTGAGGACTCTTGAACTTTCTTCCTGAAAAACGACTGGACGTATTTGTTGTTGGACAGGCCCCCAGTCAGAACGAGGCAGTTCACCTCAGACGCATTAGGTTCATAATCCAAGTGTCGCTCAATCTGCTTCCATATCTTCCCGCATTGCCATTCGAAATTTTTCTTCAATATCCTGTTGATCTCAAAGTCCGCCTTCACAAAAGCGGCGTTCGGGGAATCATTGGCGTAGATCGTGATCATCAATTTGTGTTCCTTGGAGGCTTCCTGCAGGTTGAAGTCGTGCTTGGCATCCATGTACTGCTCTCCAAGAAGAGCTTTCACCATGCTTGATTCAACAAGCTTCTCCTTTTCTTCCGGTGCCAACTTGCTGAAGGCAGGCTTCTCATGGTTGGCGACCGACTCTTCAATTGCGGGATACAGAACTTTGGTCGCTCTGGTGTCGATGTACACCGATCCGTGCTTCCTTCCGGTTGGATTTTTGGCTGGTTGAAGCTGCACTTTCTTCCCATCGTCTTTCTTGACAATGAAGGTGTTGACATCAGTCGTGCCTCATCCGATGTCCACAATCAGAATGCTATGACCAGCGCGCATTCTTTCTTGCTCAGAAGAGACGGAGGCCATAGCAGCCTGGGCTTCATCAAGCGCCAGTGCGTTAACCCAGTGGTTGGCTTCTTGTGCAAAGCTTGAAGCCATGACAATATCCCGAAACCTGCGTTGGGGAACATCGCTCCATGTTGTCGGGTAGCTGAATAGGAACCACGCAGTCGTTGAGCCCCAGTCTTTGCCGTCTGGAGGCTTGTCCTCCAGGGCCCGCTTGATGTAGGTGTAAAGACCGGACAGGTACTTCTTGAGACATTCTCTTGCTTTATTCGCATTCATTCCCACCTGCTCTGGCAACTCATCCTCCGATTCCTCCTCGGCGTCCGTGTCTTCGAGTTCTTCGCGCTTGGCGTCCATGTTTGAGAGTCCACTCCCAGCTGAAGCTTTCGAAGTCCGGTCGTGTTCTTCAGCATCAATCCAACTCTTGAACAGAGTGTACACTGGTACTGGTTGATTGGATAAGGCGTATTTGCGTGCTGCGAAACCCCAAGGCGGTTCCTGATCTGGAGGTCAGTCCGCATTTCGTCCACAGTTAAGGGTTTGCCAACGCAAGGCTGTAGCCTGCCAAGAAGCATATGGACTCGCCCAATAGCACAGGCACACAGTTGGTAGAGAACGTAATAAAAGAGTCTCACCTGTAAGTCCGAAATCGATCCCCAGGATCAGATCCGGCCTCGGAGGCTTCCTCGCTTCACCCATTGTTCCAAGTAGTCAGTTTACGCCGGTGACGAAATTGGCGCCAGACAAATTCTAAACAATGAGGTGCCTGATAAGTCTATTGTCGTGAAAATTACAGGCACCGGAGGGTGATTTATGCTTTTCCTCTCACCCACCCAATGTCCTGCGTTGGGTATCTGTGGTTGACAGCAACTCCTGTGGCTGTGTGAGAGGTGAGACCGGCTTCACACACTTTGATAATGTCCAGATCTTTTCATTGGCTTTCAACCATAATTGGGGGGCATTCCCAAGATCTCGAGATGCCGTATATCCGCGTGGGTAGCCTGATGCTAACCGTGTCGGCCTCACTGGGTGACACACATGCAGTAGTTGATCACATATGATATTGTCACTGCCTGCGTTTGTGTCTGCGGCATATAAAAGAAATGTCAATGATTCGATCACGACGAAGTCACATAACCCCCACTCTGCCGATTGAAACTCGTGCTGAGCGCAGCTAGAGGATCGTTGCGTGATCGTCTCCCAAGCCAACTGTGGCTGCCCTTGTGTTACCTGCCTCATCTGGCATCCAGGCATTTTGGAGATCGCAGCTTGCAGCGCCTGGGGTTACAACCTTCCCTTGTTTCGCGAGTTTTCCTATTTAAAAGGGGTATCGGTCTTATGGACCTTCGAACAATGCAAGCCGCAGCCTGCCGCAGCCTGCCGCAGAACACCATCTTGACCTGTGCCGTGTCTTACACCCACAGAATGGTGAATCCGAACTGGCAACCAGAAAACCACTCATTTCTTGGCCCAGATGAGGGGAACTTTCAACATGAGGCGAGCGAAACCAATCGAAACGATGATTGTGTAGTACGGCCTCAGCCTCATGCATATGATCGGGCCTCTGCCGTGCCTCAGTTCGCTGTTATGGCAAACATCTTGGTCTGGCCAGGCAGAGTACTACGCCGCCCCTGACGTCGGTCTCACCAGGTCGGCATGTTGTGAGAATCAATGTCTTGTAAATGAAGAGGTGAAGACTCTAGGAATTTAAAAATAAATAGTTGACGATGGAAGCAAACATGCCGCTCGTTGCGTGTTCTGAACCCAGCCATCTCAGCAAGTGAGCTTGAAATTTTGAAGCGTAGAAAGAAAATGCACGTCGCACTTCTCGTCAGGTGACAGAGTGTAGGTTTGCCAGTTGTTCTAGCAGAAGAGTCAGTATTGCTGGTGAGAGGAAATGGGGAAAGCACACGACTAACCTGCTGTGTGTTGGGATTCCAGAATTGGACGGCAAAGTTGATGTCGTAGTTCATGTTGTTCTTGAAAGTGTAGAACCTCCAATCGGGAAATTTCGTGTCGTCCTCAACTCGTGAAATCGTAAGAGAGTTGAGTGGGCCATTGACGGATGAGCCGACATTCCTGGGTGCGTTGTACGCTGTGCATTTCAAGGGGTTGCCTCCAACTCCTCCGCCAACATTGGTGCATCCTGCCTCGACTAATCCGCTCAAGAACGGCAGCGTGGCCAGAAGGAAAGAGATACCGTTGAATTGCATGTTTGAAAACAAGGTGATGCCTGCAACGTGGTGTTGTGCGATGGATAGGCAAAAGGTGAAATGCAAGTGACAAGCTTCCCCCAAGAAAGACAGGCCAACTTACTCTTATACTTTGTGTGTTTTCCCCCTATTTGTGATAGACAACCAGATGGACCCCTCGTTCGCCTCGCAACTATTCGTATTGTCCCCGAGTCACGGCAACTCGGGTGCTAGAAAGACCGCCAAGACCAACCCACAAGTAGAGTGTTGTGATATTGCACTCTCAACTGAATGGATGTTAGTGCGAACTCTATTACTTGGACCAAGCACCTTTCGAAACCGACACAGTGGTTCTATCTTGAGACTCGAAGACTATGTTCCTCTAGTTGGGGTACATTATGCATGGTATTTTCGAGTAGGACAGTCTATGAAATCGAAGCTAAATGATGAGTTTAAGTTCCTTCACTTACAATCGTGGCCATACGTTGTTGCGCACTCCGTCTAGATACTGACAAAAAAAAAAAAAAAAAAAAAAAAAACGGCTGTGCGGCTGTCTCAAACTGGCGCATGACTCTGACTATATTAACTGCAATTTGCGCAAGAGTTACTGATCGCCAGTTCCGATGGAGTGCTCCGGTGGGATATTAGCCATCATCATCCCCATTTTGTAACACATCGTATTCCTCGGATACAAGGTAAAGTCAAGAATGTTCGAGCCGAGACCGTAGTTCACCGCGGTCTGAAGTACGTGAAGATTTCCATATTGCCTGTTCGTAGAAACCAATTCATCTCTCTATAGTTCCATATCAACGTTGAGAGTCTTTGGACAGATGTGCACCCATGTCTGAGAGTTTGCTTCACGCAATCCTACGTCAAGTCAACCCACTTCCGCCCTGCTTCCTCTCAGGGCCTGGAGGAATGTCAGGGGGAATCTTATTGCACACCCCCGCCCCGCCCACTGTCACATCCCTCTGTGGCTAAGGCAGTCGCGCTGCCAGTTGGTGACAATTACCCACCTCTCCGCCTACTGACTTTTAGCCGCGCCTGCCCAGTACCCAGTTACGCCTGCCCTGCCAGTTGCGCCTGCCCTGCCAGTTACGCCTACCCGCCCAGCTTACTAGCAGTACTAGCCCTACTTAGCAGGCGCGCCCAGTGAGGAGGGTCAGTAGGGCCAGTACAGCAGGTAGGGCCAGTACGGCAGGTAGGGCCAGTACGGCAGGTAGGGCCAGTACAGCAGCGAGCTAGGTGGGCAAGCGCGACTGTGGAACAACTAAGTAGGCAGGCGCAACTGAAAAGGCTGGCACCTGGCAGCGCGCCTGCCTTAGCCACAGAGGGATGTGGCAGTGGGCGGGGCGGGGGTGTGCAATAAGAGTCCCCAATGTCAGTCGAGCCCGAAGGATTCAAATCCCTGCAGCTCTCATGGCCCGTGCATCTGGTCTGCAACGCCTATCGATAAGATGCCGCCGTCAGTGCCCACAATGCTCGCCGCCTCAACCCCCCGGCTCGTTCCGCGAAACTCTGTTCAAGCTTTCGGACGAAAATTCCAAACCTCACCTGTTCAGCCTTACGTCCTCCCATCCAACGCCCGCCCAATCAGCGCCAGCACGTACAGCAAGCCAATGGGACCACCGCGCACCGCTCTCGGCCGTGTCTGCGCTTCCACGACGCGAACCCTCTCCCACCGAACACGAAGCCGTACGCAGACGCAGACGCAGACACGATGGAGCTCCTCGCAGCCCGTCTCGAAGCTCGTCTTCCCAGATGACGACAGCGCGGAGCCGAGCGCCGTGCGCCACATCCACCTGACCTCCTCCAACCCCCGCGACGCCGCCGGATTCCCATCATACACGGCAGCTTCAGATTTCCAAGCCTCCCTGCGCCAGGCCTTCCTCGACTGGAAATCCGCCCCGACGCCCCGCGCCCCACCGCCCCTCGTCGTATCCTTCACCCCGACACCGACCTACACGCTCGGCAAACGGCAAAAGTCGCTGCGCGAAGACCAGCTGTCTCGCCTCACCCGGCCGCTCTCCGTGACCCTCGACGACGGCACGACGCGAGACTTCGCCCCCGCGGTCATCGAAACGGATCGCGGCGGCCTGACGACCTACCACGGCCCCGGCCAGGTCGTCCTCTGGCCCATCCTCGACCTGCGGAGCCCGTACTATCCCCACCAGACGGTCCGCTCCTACGCGCGCCTGCTCGAAGAAACGACCCAAGCAATCCTCGCCTCCTCCTCTCCATCAGGGCCCGGCATCCCCACATACCTCTCCGAAGAAGACCCGGGCGTCTGGACCGAAGGCGCCAGGGCGCATGGCCAGGAGCGCAAGATCGCGGCCATGGGCGTCCACCTGCGCCGGCACATCACCGGCCTTGGCACGGCGCTCAACGTCGACGTCGTCGTGGACGGGGACGAGCGCGCCAACCCCTGGGCGAGGTTCGTGCCGTGCGGACTGGAGGGCAAGACGGCCACGAGCGTGCAGGCCGAGGTCGGGCCGAGATGGGACGCGTGGGCGGCTGCTGGCGACGCGAGGGCGCGCAGGGAGTGGTATGCGAGGCGGTGGGTGGAGGAGTTTGCGAGGCGGTTGGGGGCCGCGGCCGTCGACGGGACGGTGTATCAACGACTTGCCTGATCCACCACCCACCCCTAACCAGTTTTTTTTTTCTCTCATCGGCTCTACCTACCTACCCCTCCCCTGCGAACAAGCAAGCCCACGTTGGCAGGTTCGCAGACGGCATTGGCCCTGGCAATTGCGTTACTGTGGTGGAATATGCGGTGCTCATCACGGCAGTCGAGGTGAAGGGGGGGAGCGGGGGTGCGAAAGATGGTCTGGACCGCTCCGTTGGAAGCACCGCAGCGGAGCTGCCCAGGTCTGGCACGTCACACCTCTCTGCCGTGTCGTGTGCCTGCCCCCTTCACGTCTCTTATCAGTGATCCACCGCGGCTCTCGGTTCGGACCGGGACTTTTGCGTGTTGTTCTTCTCTTTGGAGGCTTTGTTTCCGGGGCCGAGAGCGAAAGGGACTTCAGGTCGGCATTTCCGCATTCTTGGAATGGAAATTCCGGCCGGAAAAGGATTTGCGGGTGAGCCATGTATAGAACGTCCCCGTTTTAATGATACCCATTTCTTGTTTTCTGGTTTTTGGCCACCGCCCGTGGAAAGAGAGACTGGAAACTTTGCCGAGCAGGACGTCGGAATTTCTTCCGACTCTGCTGTCCCTGAATGACAACGACCGAAATGCAACCTTGGCTGCTCCCGACGATCATAGGCGGTACCGAGATCCTTGGCTGCTGTTGCATCACGCAGAATGGCATGTCATGATATAAGTAATGTATAACATCCATATCCACATCCACATATACGGATATATCAGTCTCTCGAATCAAGCTACGTTGGAGATAAGCCGTGCTAGGCTGCGGTTAATGCTCAAGCATGCTTGCATGAGATCGGCGGGCGTGCAGAAGCACACCGGTTCATGGGTTGGCCCCGATGGCCTGTTCTCATAGGCGCGGAGCAAAACTCCTAAGGACGGTGGTTGATTTGGTCTTCTCTTCCCGAGGAGATGGCATTCGCGCCAAGACCCCGAGATGCGCCGCCGGCAGGCAACGCAGACGGGATCAACACTGGGTTGCCGCAGTGGCGGCTGTCGGTTCTTGGTTTTGGTTCTTGGACTTGATGCGACTTGAAGGCAGGAGGAGTGTAGGTCACCATGGTGTACAGTTGTCAGGGTGCAGAAACTTTGGAGTGAGAACCAAATCCCACGCATCCGCCACTGAAGACCTTGGGTTTTGTTTCATCAAACTTGGTCGTGGAGCGCTAGGACAGTATGTCACCAGCGTTTACATAACATTGTTGCTAGATCAAGAAAGCAAGGAAATGCAACCACAACCAGTCCAATTAGAAACAACGCCGATGCTATGATGAGTATCAACCTGAAGATTGAACCGTCCCGCCAAAGCCGTGAAGATAACCCCCTCTTCATAAGTCATGATTCCATTCCCCGTAAAGAAAATAAAATGATTAAAGCCACAGTAAACCAGTGAACCGAGTTTTAAGCCTCCTACAATGCAGAAATGCCTGGCCAATCGCCTGACCACCAAATGACTGGCCTTAAACCTCTTGATTTCGCGTTCAAAAACGGTCTGCCTCATCGCAGAGTCCATTCATCAAGCCTCGCGTTCGCATTTGAGAACGCCTGGTGTTGCGACAGAGGCTCGTCTCCACCTCTGCGTCCCAGAACAGGAGGCTTGCCCAGGACCCGACCTCACGCGTCACGATATGATGGTGCCGTTATCCCATCATGACAGTTCAGTGCTCCGACTTGATCCGTCCCTTCTTCTTGGCAGGAGGCAGTCTCTCGTGTGCCTCATCATCGGGTGTCCACTCCTCCGGATGGAAATGGGGATTTTGATAGTGGGCCTTGTTGAAATGGCTGTTCTTGAACATGGCTGTGGTGAAGCTGGGTTCTGGGAAACTGGGCTGAGAAGACAACATCGACGGCTGAGCGGAGCTAGAACCGCTGAGATGCCAACACTGGTGACTAAACCTCAGCTGATAATCCACGGGCTGTGATGACTTCCCGGACGTGGAGGTTGACTGTTGAGGCTGCGGCGTGGATTGAGGCTGAGGACGAGGGGTGGGCACGGGCTGCTGCTGTTGCGGAATGTGATCGGAGTACGGCGTGGTCATCCATGGGGACTGCGGCGTAGCATCGTAAGCATCCGGCATTGGCGAGGTAGACGTTGGCGAGCCCAGCGATGACAGGCCTGAGGACAGGCCGGATGGCGGGCCGCCAAAGCCGGGCAACATTGCCAAGGGGCTGTAATCCATGTTGGCAAAGGTGTGCAGAGAGGGAGCGACGGGCATGATTTCTTGTCGGTGAGAAAAGGAGGTCGCGCGGTTGACCTGCAGGTTCAAGGGTGCAGGGTTCGGGGGAGACTTGTACAGAATGTCGTAGTGGTCGGGTCGGTATAGGAGGTAGATGATTGGGCCCAGGTTGGCGGGATCCTGGCCCATGGTCTCACTGGGCATGCGGTAGCTGTTGACCTGACTCCCGGCACTCCGATCGAGGTAAGCAATCTCGAGGACCATGTTGACAGGCTTGAGGAGGACCTGGACGAGCAGTTGGAGGCCGAGATGCTCAATCTCTCTGTTGGGACGCTCGAGCTCGGCACAGTAGCCGGCGATACCCGTCTCGCCAGGAATGAAGGGGGCGTAATCGTCGGGGTTGCCCTTCAGCCAGGAGCTGGCCAGAAGCCGCAGGTGATAGATGATGGCATTGGAGGCGTCCTGGTCATTGAAGCGCTGGAGGACGATCTGCTGGGCCAATTGCGGGTTCGTAATGCTGTTTGCCAGGTCCCTCAGCAGAGCAATGGTCTCATCCACCATGTCCTCGAAGAGCATCCGATCGTAGCCGCCGATGTTGAGAAGGTACTGGTTCAAGCTCGTGATGCGGGCGATTTCGCCGAGGATCTGATCCTGGTCGCCATTGTTGGCGAGATGCTCAAAGTAGGAGAATCCGACGGCTGTGGCAGAAGCAGTCAGTCAGCTATCGTGGTGTGCCTCGGAGGGGTCGTATCGTGGAAGCTGGTGCGAGGACTCGAGGGTGGGAATGCGGGGTAGGTTGATGGTGCACGGAATGGTTCGAGGGCGAAGGGTGACTTACCTCGCCAGCCGCAATTTCCGTCGCCTTGGATGGGTCGGTAGTGGGAATACGTCTGAGGAAGAGCCTAGAGTCGGGGACAACGAGGGCCGAGGTTAGACAATGTCCAGGGTGTTTGGTTCTCGGAAGGGGAGCTGGAAGGGTCGGATCGAGACTCACGATGGTCTTTGCGACGTAGACATCGTCGGCCTTTGCGTACTCGTCGGTGATGGCGTCGCTGGTGATCTTGTCGCCGACTAATGGGCCCTATCGGCGGGGAGGGGAAGTGGTTAGCGCAGATCCAGAGCAGAGGTAAGCTAGGCTGAGGTGAGGTGAGGTGAGCAGAGCAGAGCTTCGGTTCCAAGCTCCTCGAGCTTCCTTTGCGACAGACAAACAATGAACAACAGATGAGAGATGGATAGGAGCTTAGAGCTTAGAGCTTACCTGGAGCTGTGGCTGGTAATCCCGGGCGGCGGCTTCCTGGGCGGCGAGGTCGGAAGGGTCGCCGGGCTCCATGGTGGACGGACGAGTGCTCGTGGAGTTTGCGGTGCTTGCGGAAGCGGTGGTGTTTGTGTTTGAGGAAGAAGAGATGTTGGAGTTGTAAAAGGAAGAGGCCGGGTCGCAGTTGGACGAGTGAGCTCCAGGGAGGTGGTGCTGGAGCTGCTGTTGGTGGTGGTGGTGCTGCTGGTGGTGCTGCTGGTGGTGCTGCTGGTGCTGGAGGTGGGAATGGGAATTGGGGTTGGAGTGGCTGTAGGAGGAGTGGGAGTGGGAGTGGGAGTGGGAGTGAGAGTGAGAGTGGGAATGGGCGTGTGAGAGGGAATGGGAGCGGGAAGACGGCGTGGTGGAGGCAGAGGCAGAGGCCGAGCCAGAAGACGCGCCGGGGCTGTGGTGGAAAGCTGCAGCAGCAGCAGGGTGATGAGGATGGTGATGATTGTGGCCGCTGCCGCCGTAGCTGGCGGGGGATGAACAATACAAGCTGCCTCCAGCAGGGGAAGCTGCTGCTGCTGCTGTTACCGCCGTGGCTCCAGCAGGTCCAGGTCCGGGTTGTTGCTGCTGCTGCTGCTGATGTTGCTGCTGCTGCGGCACAGACACCTGGACTCCAGTGACAGCGACCGGCGCGGCTGCACTAACCGCGGCGACAGCTGCACCAACGACGAGGCCAGCACCCGCACCCGCACCCGCACCCACACCCGCGCCCGCTGCAGTTGCAGCACCTGCTGCAGCTGCAGGTTCCATTTGGTGCCGTCCCTGCTGTTGTTCCATCTGGTGTTCCACCCCGCCCACGCCCATGCCCACGCCCAGAGATAGCGAATTCGACCGCTGATCCATTCCACCCATCGTCTGCTGCTGCTGGTGATGCCTCCGCTGCTGGTGATGGCGATAATGATGTCCGTGTCCCTGATCCGGTGCAGGCCCCAGGCTGCTGTGGTTCAGTGTATGCCCGCTGTGGGCCAGGGGGTTGCCCATGCTGTGGCCTTCGGGACCAGCGGACGCCAGGCCCATCCCAATGCAGTTCGCACCCGACGGTGAGCCCACTCCCAGCGGGGTCGGTGAGTGGAAGCTGTACACTGACATCTCTCCTCCCATCCCGGCTCCTCCTCCTCCTCCTCCTCCTAATACTCCTCCTCTTCCAATTCCAACGCCTCCTCCCATTGCTCCAGCTCCTCCTGCTGCTGCACTTCCTCCTCCTGTCACACCCATGCCATATCCCCCTACATTGTGAGAAGCGTGAAGCTGCTGCTGCTGCCCTCGTGGTGCATGTGCCGAGTGGTGGATGCTGTGAAACTGCGCCGGTTGTGCGTGAAATCCCGACGCAAAAGGCGTGGGCTGAGGCTGGAACATGGCCTCTCTGATGCTGTCCTTTCTGCTGCCACCTTTGGCCCTGCTTTGCTCTCTTCTCTTCCTGTCTTGACTTCTGAGACTAGCCTCCTGTCTCCTGTCCTGCCAGTGCTTGTTGTGCCTCGTAGTCTGAGTCGAGGGAATCCTGGCCCTAATACGTCCGCTTGTTTCTGCTGGCTGACAACGCGCCTGATGTGCAGTCTCCGATCCTCGTTTGGAGGAAAAGGCGAGGGTGATGGGCGAGAGAGAGAACACACAGAAAAGAGTAAGCAGCCCGTGGGGGAAAAAACAAGAGGCAGAAGGAAAAAAAGAAAAGAAGAGATGATGAATGGGTCGATGAGAGTGCGGGTGAAGGAGGGGGGAAACGGACTGGAACAGTCGGGGAGTCGGACGATGCGATGCGATGCGATGCGTGAGGTGAGGTGAGCTGCGATCCAATCCAATGCAATAACAGGATGGATGCCAGCAATAATACTACACCAAGAGACAACAAATGAACGCCCGTCCTCACCAACTGAACCAAAAAAAAAAAAAAAAAAAAAAAAAAAAAGGACTGGTATCAATAACCCAGCCCAAAGTACGGTACAGGAGCCAACGCCCACAGGAACAAGTATCGCGCCGTCGAGCAGGTAACTCGTCCGTACCTCAGCTAACGTGCGACGCAACGAATGAAACAAGAGCGAGCACACAGGGGGTCGAGGGTTGGAGGGGGAGAGAGGAGGAATATTGCAGAATTCGATGGTCCGCCCCAAAAAAGGAACAATAAATGTGACGAGTGGTTTTCCGGGGTGCGTCTGCCCGTCCCTTCCTCCTGCGTCTCTGCGTCTCTGCGTCTCTGCGTCGACCTCGAGCCCGGCGATTTGTTCGATCGACTCCGGGGTTTGGCGACCGAGCCTGCGAAGAAGGGTGGTGGTTGATGGTCGTGGTGGTGGTGGCCTCGCCTCGGGGGCCAGGCTGGGCTGTAATAATACCTTGCAAATAGTTGGTGTTGGATGATGATGATGGTGTTGCTATTGCTGCTGTTGGATGATGTTGTTGTCGGTGTTGGTGGTGCTGTTGGTGACGCTTCTCTTCTGTCTGTGTCTCTCTTTTCGCTTCTGACCTACGAGACTAAGATAGTCTCCTCCTGATATGGTCTCGTCGCCTGAGTGAGATTATTGATTCGCCCTTTCCGGTAGCTCCTTCGCCGTCTGTTCGCCCGTCTGGTGCCTTGGACACACAGATCAAGACGTGAGGAGGGTGTGCACCGCAGCTGGATCTGGGAATGGCGCTGATGCTTGGTGCCAGACGAGCCGAGCTGAGCGGTGGGTGGTTGACGAATGGCGGCCGGCGTGGACAGGACTGGTCGATGTGATGTGATGCGAGTGTGCAGTACCGTGCCGCAGCTAGGGATCGGAGGGTAAGGTACAGCAACGGAGGTAGGGCAGAAGAGGCCCGGTATCACGGTTCAAGCTTGGAAGAGGCTGGCTGACTGATTGACTGACTGACTGACTGACTGGCTGGCTGGATAGATAATCAATAAGACAGACCACCCTCAATCCATCCACCAAAGAAGGCTAGATGGATACCCAGGTTCAGCCTTCTCACAACTGAAAAAGGAGTGAGGATGGGCGAGTTTGAAGATGAGAAGATGAGGAGAGGAAGAGAGGAAGAAGAGGGAGGGAAAGAAAGGACAGGAAGCAAACTGGTCCAGGAAACACAAGGGCATTTGAGGGCCAGTCAAGTCCCGTCGATGCACACAGGCCAGGAGACGGGAGACGGGATACGGGAGACGACACAAGCAAGGCGCACGAGAGCGAGCGAGGACGACGCGGGATGTTGTTCTAGGGTTACGATGGTTGCACCGGCACGGGCACTGGGAGGCTACCTGGCTGGCATGACACGACCCCGGAGCGGCATCACCAGCACCACATCAAGGATCTCCAGCAGGGAGCTTCGGGTTCGGGGATGTGAAGTGGACAGTGGCGGAGAAGGAGGAGGAGTAGGAGGATATGGACATGGAGCAATATCACAACGGCGTCAGGATGATGATGACGGAGAGCGATGCCGGCAACCAGGGTGGTAGGCATGCACAAAGTATGGGTATCCGTACCTCACGAACCCGCCCTCTGGATACCTCACTCCCGTCAGATACCTTACCTATCCAGCATGCCTACTAGTAGTATGTAAGGTGCAGACAATCACCACACATGCCAGCCGTGTCCGCAGTGTCCGCGGTGTGTCCTATCGTAGCTACTCGTACGCATTTACGTATTGAGAGAGGGTGATGTGCGGACGGCAAGGTACGTACATGTCATGTAAGACAAGGCATGGTGAGGCAGGGCATGGGGGGGAGAAAGAAGGAAAATAAACGGGCAGCGGCCGTTTTAGTTCCATTGTGTGAGTGCCACCAGGCTGGACGGGGGTGGCATGCCGCCAGATGGTTGGCTGGCACTGCTGGTACAGACTCACAGGCTGCATCGCATCGTCCGCATGGCATGGCACGATAGCGTCGATGGTTATGATTATGATGAGGTGGGTGCCGATGGCGGGAGACTACCTATCGAAAGACCAACGGCAATAGCGGCGCCCACCAGCGCACCCGCGCCCGTCGGCCGGGTTTTCGAGGCGAGTCCAGTGCAGCATCGACGGTGGGTGGGAGGAGGGAATCGGGGGCCTGTGACGGAGACGGATGGGGACGGTTTGAGTGTGAATGTGAAGAGAATGCAGAACAGGTGGTGGTGGATGATGATGATGAGAGTGATGGATCCAGTCTCTGTGGAGGGTGAGTTGTGAGCAAATGAGCAGCGAGATAATCATCAAGACGAGCGATGTCCGTCCTGTCTCCGTCGTGTGTCCCCGTCCTCATCCCCATCCCCATCGACCCCCGATACGTACCGTCTTCCCCCGTCGAGAGACAAAGAGAAACAGTCGCGGACTCTACTCTGTGTCTGTGTAGGATCGAGAGCGCGGCAGAGACAGAAAGAGAGAGACTGCCAACCCCCGGTCCCGTGTCGGGTCTGGCCTTCTCGCCTGGCGAGGTCTGGGCTGGTCCGCACCAGGTCTTGCTGCATCTCGTGCACTGCGTCTTCTGAGGCAGGCAAGGTACGGATTGGCTGCGTCGCAAGCAGGGAAACCAGAGGACGGGGTTGACAGGGTCGGGGTTGGCAAGGAGGTTGATCGACAGAGAGAAAGAGAGAGAGAGCAGCGTAGTACGGTGATATCGTGACATTACTTCTTTAGTTCCTCTCTCATATGCCCTCGCATCACTAACCTCTCTGTGTAGTAATCCGCCTGTGCCCACGAGGGATTCACGGGAAGGGGGGGGGGACTTTTGTTGGATCGATCCATGGCTGCGTCTGGCCCGGGCACCCGGCCCAAGTGAAGTCTTGCTATTTCCTCATCGACTTGCTATTTCTTCACAGAAAGGGCAATGCGTGTCTCCTCGCCTGCGTTTGCACCTTCACAGACACATACTCGGATACCTAGGAAAGGTAGGTACGGATAGGCGTGGCTGGTTGGTAGGATGTCCATGTCCAACGCTGCTGGCTTGTTTCTGGAGGCGTTAACCTTAGATCTTTCCCGCAAATCCTGCCCGCTTGTGTCGAGGAAAGCAGAAATAAGAAATGGTCCTCGTCTCAAGCCTCAAGTCAAGGCCAAGGGGCAGCTTCCGACCTCTAGGTAGACCTCTCCATCTCTGTCAGTGCTTCTTCGGTCAGCATCTGTCGTCTCGTCGTCTCCATCTTCGCTCCCACGCTCTTTAGCTTCTCCAGCATCCTCCGTTTCAACCGTCTCGTCCCATCCCATCCTGTCCCATCCATGATCCCGTCCGTCTCTCCTCATCTCATCCTATCCTCCCTCCCTCCACCTCTTCCCGCACTCACTGTGACTCCCTAATCCCTGTCTGCGAGGATCGTCGAACAACATGCCATGCCATGTGTAACATGCAGGGAGCCCCCCCCGAGCCTTCAACATCCAACAAACCATGGTCCAACGACGGACAGGACATTCTGCACATCCACGCCTCGACCACGACGGACGGCAGGACTTTCTCCTTTGATCAGCGTCGGGTCTAAGAAATCAACAACAAAGTGCCGACGGCCACGGGCGCTCAGTACCACGCATTCATTGTACGCCCGCTCTGCAACCAGAGCAGAGCAGCCCAGAGCAGAGCTCGACCTCAAATTCGCAAGGGTGGCATTCCAGGGTCGAATCGAGCCGGGGGGAAGCCCTGGCCTTCACCGTTCGAGCTAGCAGGGGGGCTCGCTTTCTCTGTGTGCCCATGACATCGCGAGTTGTCTTTCGAAATCGGGCAGGGTTGGCACGAGCATCGCATCCAGGGCAGGGCGTCCAGTACCAGTCGAGGCCAGGGCAATCGAGGGCCGCTGCAAGACCCGTGGCACCCTCGACGAGCGGGTGACTGTCCTCTGTATGGTCCATCACACCTCACGGAGCTCGCATACATACCTTACTATGTACATACCTTGCCTTACCTACGGTACTATGCAGCCAGTACCTTAGCTAAGGTAGGACGCGATGGCGCCCAGCAGCAGTCGTCACTCTCGACAGACGCAGTAGCGACAACCTAGCACTCACTCACTTAGCCCGAGAGCCCCAGCCTCCCTGCGTCTGTGGACGAGCAGCAGAGCAGAGCACACAGACGCACGCCGCCCGCGGTGGGCAGACGCTGATGTTGTATTCGGGCTCTCTATTAGCGCTGATCCAACTCCATCCATCGTGATCCCCTCTCCACACTTTCCGTCAGCCCTCCTCCACTGACACTGACACTGGCGCTGGCGCTGGCGCTGGTTCTGCCACTGGCGCGCTGCTCCGGACATCGAAGCTCTTAGGCCGGGCCCAGAGGAAGTTATCTTGGGTAGCCTGGAGGTACACACTTTACCAACACGCTACCTAGCGCGACGTACGTAGCGCCGGCTGCCAAAATTGCATGCCCTTCGTCAGCGCGGTTTGCGTTGGGCCTGCCCTGATCCTCTCCGCTCTATGCCAATGTTTCTCGTCTCACAGCCTGGACAAGGATGTTCACAGTGGCTGTGGACATGGCGAGACGACATGCATCGCGAGAGTCCAGTGAGCACCCATGAGTCGGGGAATCCTCCGCCAACGACTTTGAACGCCTCCGACTGGTCTTCTTGAACAAGAAACCACTATCGACTCGCTTGATTGCTCGCTACCTCGCCTACTTGTCTCTCTGTCTTGTTGGCCCACCAAGGTCTCGCCAACGAGGGGGGCAGAAGGACGGCAAGATGGGCTGCGAACGGGATAACAACGGCAATGTCATTCTCCCTGATGGGCCGACGAAGTTCATCACCACCCCTCGTGGCATTACAGATCGCCCCCTTCTCTATGCGCAGTCGTTTCTTTTTCTCGTTTTCCGGTCTGTTGCTATTACTCCTGATACCAACGGATGCTGCTGTTTGGCCGTCCTTAATTATGCGCCTGTGTTCTGGCCGTGGCCACTTTGCAGGGCTTCAAGCGCAGGCAAGCGCATCCATCCAACAACATTCTCAACAACTTGCGCCGTACCAATGGCCTCAGTGGCTCTATTGGTCTGGTCTGCTTCGAGTTGACTGACTGGACTGACGTTCCCACGGAGCAGGCTTACACAGAGTCTGGGCCTCGATTCGATACAACATGGCACGCTTACCTTACATGGAACATGCTTGTCACTTGCTGACGGTTGACGGTGGCCGATTCTGTTCTCCGGCTGCAGCCGTCAGACGTTTCCCACGGACAACTCAGTGTTGCTGCCGCCACAGCAAGCAGCCACGACTTCACTGGACGGATCTCAGCCGAGGAACTCAGATGGCAACATGTCACAATGGACCACTTCTATCACAGCATAGGCACCGCAGAGAGAAAATCTGCCCTGCGGTTAGGCGATACCGCATGCACTTTTCCTCGAAGCGAGGCCTCTCTGATGGCGCCATAGAAGCAAACGGCCACTGATGTTGAATTGCCAGAGCACACGAGCCCAATGTTTTGTGGGCTAAGAAACATGGGCATCTATCAAAAGAGCCACTCCTCGGTGGGAGAATCCCATCAAAGACAAAATGCAGAGTGGACATGAATGGGGCAAAATGCCCTGGGTTGTACGGGCTAGTTCTTGGCTGCGAGAACCGGCTCAACCGCCTGGGCAAGATCCACGTTTGGCGGCGCACGAGTCCTTCGCCGGATGGGGTGCCCCATTTACCCAATAACGAAGCATCTTGGTATGGATTCCAAGAAGTTTGATGCGGGAGAAACTGGGCCGTGATATCAATTTTTTCCCGGCCCAAGACGCTGTCTTGAGTGCGAGCTCCATACTGATGCATACAGACGACATTTGCATTGTCGATCACTTTGCACTACCACCGTCTCGCCGCTCATTCTGCTCCGTCTCCTTGACGGCACGGCATGCAAAAGGCTTCGTCGATGCAGAATGGAAACAAAATGACAGACATCGGCCCAAGGCCGGGTTGGCGCCGGCACACTCGGTTCGACAAGGTCGCATCGATGGGACACTTGAGACGCCGCAGTTAATGGGATTACCTTATCAGCTTTTTAGCTGCCGGTAACTTCAACGGAAACGCCTTCAAAAAAACGTATCCTCCGAAAGAGGCGTGGATCGCTTCGCATCCGACGCGCTTGTCGGCCCCGAGAGGGCCTCAAGGATGCGCTACTTACATGAGCCGGCACCAGAACAGAACACCACCAGTCGGGTTCTACCCTCGGGCTTCTCACACTTAATACTCTATTGCTCACACTGCTGTGAAGCAATATCGATTGCCGTATGGAAAGCCATAGACTTGCCTTTCGCGGTGTGCTCAGCTCCCACATCCGCAATCTCAAACGCTGTTCCGTCGGCCAGCAGAAAGGACGGGATGTCTGACAGCGACGGAGCCTGTGGAATTTGCAAGGATTCATGCACACCCGTCGAGGGACGTCGCTCTTTGCTGGGGTCATCGAGTCCCCAGGGGTCCCGTCTCGCACCGACAGCCCCGAGTAATTCAGCCTGTGGAAAAGCAACCGCATGCTACAAGTCAGACAGCATTCACTCTGTTTCTGCTGGCTGAGCACTTCGACCAATCTGAGGGACGTCCGTCAGAAACCGTGCTTGTCTGACAAGTCAGTGAGGCATGTCACAATTGCTAGACCATGCGGCTAACTGGAGCTGTGGAGTGGGTGGACGGTTAGTTCCGCCCACGATGAGGCCCTGCAACGCGGTTTGCCCAAGCGGAAAGCAAACTTGACAATGACAATTTTGCGAAATACGGTCCTTCAGTGGTGGAACATGGAGGCGTCTCGGGATCTGCGCCGTCCGTCCCCCACTCGGTGCGCTACCCAAGGATGAGGCAAGGAATACAGAGAATTCTGCAAGGCTTGTTGGGCGATCCAAGTCTTTTCCCTTTCTCCTGCTAACCCGCGTGCCGTACTTGTTGGGTCATGATCCTCATGAAGGGGCCATACGGTTCGCAAGACTTTCCGTTACGGGATGAAGACGGTCATCTCAGCAACCGCATCACCAAATTGGCGTTTTCCAGATGTAACCCATCTCGAAAAAGGCCTACCGGTTTGAATGAATATGACCATGTTACAAGAGATGTCAAAGGTCCCCAGCAAACGAAAAAGGTCCCCGGCACTCCAGCAGACTACGCATACGAATCGATACAACCATGACGCAGTAAGGAGCCCAGAGCTCCAAAGAGGCTTCATTGTGGTTGTCGTACACGCTGAGCCAGGTACACCAATCTCAGGTCAGATGAGATAGATAACTCGAGGCGCAGCTTGCCATCCATGGTAATAGTTCTTATGCGGCTTTCTGCGGCACACGGTATGCTTTACTCGCCCCCTGGCAAACATGATGCCAGATGCTGCTGCGAGCCTTGCGCTGTAACCCCGGGATTCTGGTACTTTTGCAGTCCAAAGCAAGAAAAAAGTACTAAAAGATTTGTCTTTGGTGGACGACTCTTCGCATCGAAACGCCAGCACAAGTATACCCGCATCTCAAAGGTCGACTAATCAACATTGACGGTGGCGCTGGGAATGCAAAGACATTCGACGGGCCACGGTCTATCCGTCCTCAAATCCTGGGCGATGACAAGAGACACATCCAAGCACCCAAGATAACAACCATGGTGCTCAAGCCCTATGCCCCTGGTCCTTCTTTCGGCGCTATCACGAATCAGCACTAGGGCGTAGCCTGAAGGACATCCAGCGAGCCCAGCGTCCACGATCGCGCTTGGGATTGCCCAGCCATCGGCACAAGGTAGACGACATGTGAAGGAAACCCAGTGGGTGAGAGATGAAGGACAAATTTGTCGAATCCGAACTCCGCGGGGCCAATCAGTCCCTATGAAAGGCGACGACTGTGCCTCATGTCCGCTTTCTTTCGAGAAGAGCGTCGCGATGGCTAACTGTTCAACTGGAACTGACCACGATGCGGCCCAAAAGAACACGGAGTCGGAATGGTAGTTCCCCAACCACAGAAGGCCTCAATACCGTCGCATCATATTTGCTTGGTTTGCCCACTTCGACACCTCTGCCGTCCCGCGTCTACGTACAAGCGTCTTGTCTCCACTGACAGAGTGAGAGTCAGGACCCTCGCAAACTTTCTCTTTTGTGGGCATGGGAGGAAAGAAAAGGGGAGATTGTGCCCGCGTTGTGGACATGGCAGGCTCTCTCTGGTGTCATTGATGTTCATCTTGCCCTTTCGTTGATGCATTCTCTGACCCTTCGCCCGCCTTCGGAAGCGTCTGCCATGCAGGCGCGCAGCTGGGGCTGCACGAAATATTCCTTTTACTTTCCCCCCGAGGAAAGGACCTCGAAGCAACTAACACCCTTGGCGATATGACAGCTCATCCTTCCGGCGAGAGAGACCCCTGTTCTCGCAGGCCGAGGATCGTTCCTTGGCTTTGTCGTCCACTTTCTACGAATAGCCCACAGTTGTCACAAAGCTCCCTCCTGCCTTTGAGAGAGAGAAAAGAAAAAAAGCACTATTCAGACTCCGCGGCTGAAGGAACGTCAAATTTGACATCTCATCGGTGTGGATCTCGGGGTTGACGGCGACGCCTCGACCTCGTATCCCACTCGTCGTCTCCTACTTCGGTGTGTTATGCCTGCGCGGATCAGCCGTCGCCCCCCGGGGGTGACGAACAGAAGCAAGGGGGGGGGGGGGGGGGGGGGGGGGGGCAACATCTCGCTACCATCTCAGGGTCTCTTCGCCGAAACAAAATTCAACACGAAGGAGCGGGGAGAATCGCGATTGGGAGGTGGTCAACGTACGGCTCATGCCATCCCTTCTGTGCCCTCGGCGACTTATGAGAGACACCGAGGGGCGGTAGCTTGCAGAAAAGCGCTCAAAAGCGCGTGGCCAAGCATGTTTGAGGCACCTTACGTATTCGACAAGTGTCAGATCTTTCCATGACATGTACGACATGCCCTACACAACGCAGCACCCTGCGTTCTACGAGCGAGCGGCGCGAGCGGCGGCTGAGAGGTTCGACTTTTTATTTCCAATGTTACACTCTGGAGCTCCGTCGTGGATCGTGTCAAAATTAAGCCGCATCTTCAAGCTGCCAAACTGTCATGGCTTGGTCGTCGACGACGCTGTGTTTCCCATCCGCCATCTTGGCTGCAATGGTATGATGCAAGCAGCCGGCACGCGCGAACAAACAGCTGCTCGCCAAACCACATACACCAAACATATCACAGCAAACCTCTCCGCCTGCCTGCCTACCTGCCTGACTGCTCCGGCAGCGGACCGCGTTAGGCCCGCAGGCTGTGTGGTCGCCCGCCCTCCTGTGCGACGACCCCATCTGCAGCTCCCAACCAGTGACGTTGGTGCTATTTGACAGCTTGACTCTGTCACGACTCAGAGCCCATCGTCCTCTTCGGGCCAGATTCGCCGCGGACACTCTCCTCTGTCTGCCGCGTCTCTGTGCTACACCCGCACTGTAATCGGCCGAGAGCGAGAGCAGCGGCAACCTGTAGGGAGAACAGATGCAGCAGTGAGGCAAAAGCCAAAACGTACACCTTCCCAACCTGCTTGCTTGCTTCGTTGTACAACGATAGGTTGCAGACGCTACGCCACGGCCAAGTCGGCACGTTTGAGTGGCCGCCGGCGTCCCATCGATCGCCCCTTTGACATTCGTAGCGGGAGGGTTACACGGAACTGAGGCAAAATAGGAGGCGCCGCGTTGGTTTCCGTTTCCTCGTTTTTCCTTCGCTCCCCCCTTTCCTCCCCCCTGGTTCAGAAATCTCTGCTTTGAGAAGGAGAGCAAGATGATCTCTCTGGATGCCGATGGGCTGCATGCCGCGTGTGGTGTGACGAAGACGAGAGAGGCAAGCTCGCGTGAGGACATCAACTTGATTTCATCTCCAGGCAAACGCAGCAACTTGACTCGATGGCCAAACCGAGGCTAATACCAATACGAAGGCAAAGTGGTGACATTGTCGCAGGGGAGAGAGATGTCGAGAACTGGCTCAGTGGCACTCGATGAGAAGAGGGGGGCGAAGAGGATTGGCGGTGCGAAGCAAAACAGCCTGTTTTGTTCGTGCGTCGTCAGGCACAATCGGGATCATCCGGCGCTTGTATCGACGACACCAACACACGCAGGATGGACAGAAAGTTTTGCTCCAACCATCACCGTAACCACCTCCACCATCCCACGGCGGTAAGCGAGGATGGTGGTGCTGCTGCTGGTGATGGTGTTCGCTACCTGCTAGGTTCAGGTTTGAACCGACCTTCCTAAGGGACCATGGTGGGAAACTTAATCTCCGTTTTGCCGTGATTAAACTTTGCACACGGAGGTAGGGGACGTTGTATTCCGGTCCAGAATGGGACGGGGAGATCTGGATTATCAAATCTTCTTCACGACCCCTTCTCTCAGAAAGTATTTTCACGTCTTCGAGATGAGATGAGCCGAGGAAATGTCAAGCGATGGATGGCATTGCGTCTTCTTCTGTAGCGTTCCGCGAGGAGTTTGATAACTGACTATGCTGATTGATCACAGAGAAGAGAAGCCCCCTCCACTCCCCCTTCTTCTCTCTCCTTTCGTCGGTCTACACGTATCGCATCCGCCCCAGTTCTAGCACCAGTCCCAACGAGACCCGCAGCGGACGCTATCCTCAGCTCTCCCGCACGTCGTAAGCTGCGGGTGATCGGCGCGCCGGACTGACTGACTGACTGGCTGCCCTGCTTGCCATGGATCGCCTCACCCGCTCGCTGCCTCCACCGTCTGTTGCGTTCTCTCTACAAACTCCACCCCTCGAATGTTCCACGATGGCGAGGTTGACAGATCGAGCGCCGTGCAGCGGCAAGCTGCTTCCACGCTGCCTCGCTAGCACGCCTGGCCGGGGAAAAGTAGAACATGCTGTGCGTATCTGCAGCTGCCCGTCATGAGCTTGGGGTAATCTGTCATATTCTGCGTAGTCTTGGTATCTTTTTTTCCATGTCCATCTGAATGCCCTCGCTGTCTTCTTGCGTGGAGACTGGAGATTGCTCTAATGTGCACATCCGTCGCGTGCCAGTACAATGTAGGGAGAGTCGTGGCAGCAGCTCATCCCGTTCGTCCCCGTTCCCGTTCTCGATTCCAATCCCGTCCCGTCCCACCTTGCTAGACGGCGAGGACGGCCTCAGGTCTGCCAATGAGTCGACACGCCCTTACCCTTACGTCCGGCTCCACGCGGCGCTCCTCGGGGACCACCGGCTCTAGGTGTCAGCCCTCCCATGACGTCCATGTTCTGATCATCAGTAGGGAACTCGGCGGTCCTGAAGCCGTCGCCGTCCTTGAACATGGTCGTGTAGAGACTTGAGACGGACTGCGTGAGCTCGTACATGGCCTTGGTGCGCTGGCTGTCTGCGTCCGACTGGATCTCGAGCGTGCCTGCCTGCTGATCGATTTTGCCGTCAATCTTTCCATCGACAATGAGGAAGCCGAGGATGTCTTGGACCTCAGGCAGTGAAATCTTGAGCTGCTTCGCGATCCAGGCGAGCTTCATGCGCGTGTAGGGAGCGATGAGCTTGACGACACCCTTTGTGCGCATGTTACGCGTGACCTCGTCAATGTTCTCAGCAATGAAGGGGTCGGCCAGGATGTCTTGGTTCTTCTGGAGAACGTTCTCGTAGGCGTGGACATCATCACGTTGGTAGGCATCCACCAGGTCCGTCATGGCCGTGATGCGCGGGTCCTGCTTGTAAGGCTTGGTCTCCTGTGAGTCGAAGGGGTTGATGGTCGACTTGACCAGCATCGTCGTGAGCAAGAGATACTTGAGGACCTGGATGCGCTGAAGCGAGCCGGCCTCGTCGTAGTTGCGGAAGGATTCGAAGAAGTCCGTCTGGGCTTCTGCCCAGTTCTCCTCACTCATGTGCATCTTGCCGCCGCACTCGCGGATGATGCCCATGATCTTCGGATGCGGGACGGCGGAGCGAACCTTCAAGGCACGCTGATACAGCCGTTTGAGTTGCTTGTTGTTCTTCGTCTCGGCATGCATCTGGATCTCCAGCGCGTATATTTCCATAGAGTACGTTCCCTTGCTGGGGTCGTCGCTACCGTCCTCCTTCTGACAGGCCTTGTGAAGATCGCGGAGCTTCTTGGATACCGTGTTATAGTCCTTGCGGTCGAGAAGAAGCTTTGCGAGCTTGATGTTGGTCTTGAGCCAGAGTCTCTCGTTGTTTGTGCTCTGGAAGCTCTCGAGGGTGAGCGAGTAGAACTTCTCGACACACGCCACCGCCTTGGGGCCATCTGATCCCTTCTCAATGTAGTCTAGCATGTTGTTGATTGACTTCTCGGAGTAGTTTCTTGTGACCGCTGATTTGACGTACGTGAGGAGCTCGGCGTAGTGTTCCGTAGCCTACATCCAGTATTAGCATCTCCCCTCTCGCCTTGTTTGTCTTCAGTCCTGATTTCCTACCTTCTCGTACTGGCCCAGATTGAACTCAAGCTTTATCGCCTGCTTCAGTCCTTTGAAGCCCCATTCGCCCTTTTCGTCTTCTAAAGGCGGTATGCCCAGGAACTCTGTGATCGCATCCTCGGGGTCGGTAAGCTTGAGCTGCTTCGCATTGTAGTACTTGTTTTCGATGCCGACGTCACCCGACTCCTCGTCATCGTCTTCCTCGTACTCGAAGTCGTACCTGCAAGCCATCAGTAACTGCCTTAGGTGGTGCGACCGCGAGAATGCGAAAGGCTTACTGCTCCTCGTCAGACTCCTGCATGAAGTCCTCGTCATCAGACATGTCGGCGGTTGTTTTCGGTTATCTCGCGGAGTGATTGATTTGTATTCACGAGATGGCTTCAAGGTATCCAGCGGTCGTGGTAGGACCGGGGGGTTGAGATTGGTCTCGTGAAGGGTCTCGGTGTTCGTTGTTGTTTGCAGTGGAAGGTGTATGGCTGGAGACGTGGATTGAGGTTCAGCTTCCATGCAGGACCGCAATGGTTGGCAGTTGACAGCACCATTAAGGCGGGGGAGCTTATCGATTGGCCGGACCCACAGGTTGCCGGCTCACACTGTTTGATTGCGCACGGACCAAGTAAAATTACGGCAGGCGGGAGGCGACTTTTTGATCCACGGTTCCAGCCAGGCGCTTCCCCATCCACTCCCAGCCGCGTCACTTCCTTACTTTATCTTTCTTCAATCCATCAACCTCTCCCACAACCGTCGATTCTCCTCGTCAAGCCCCCATACTACCCGCCGGAAGATTTCAACAGCGATACATCGCAACAGTCGGCAAGATGGGTGGTGATCTCAACTTGAAGAAGAGTTTCCACCCTTCTCTCCTGAAGAACCAGGCCAAGGTCTGGGAGGAGGAGAAGAAAGCGCTCGAGGAGCGCAAGAAGACGCAGCAAAGAATCAACGAGCTCAAGGAAGAGCGCGCCCGTGAAGAACTCCAGAAGAAGCTCGAGGCTGCCGGACACACGAAAAAGGTCGATCGCGTCGAATTCCTCTATAGCGGCCCGACCGATGGACAGACCGGAACGACCGAGGAGCGCGAGAGCTACCTCCTGGGCAAGCGTCGCATCGACAACCTGCTCAAGGGTACCGAACACAAGAACCTCGAAAAGCAGGCTGGCCAAGAGAGCTTCATGGCATTGCAGACGGCCAACACCGCACGAGACACCGCAGCAAAGGTTCGGGAAGATCCTCTCCTCGCCATCAAAAGACAGGAGCAGGCCGCGTACGAGGCGATGATGAATGATCCGATCAAGCGCAGGCAGTTGCTTGCCTCGATGGGCATCGAAGACCAGCAAAAAGACAAGTCAAAGAAGAGGGAAGATAGGCACGAAAGGCACAAGAGGAGGCATCACAGGCGTCGCGACGATGATTCAGAAGACGGCAGGCGCCATAAGCGACGGCGCTCTCAACCTCGATCCAGATCCAGAAGCCCCCGGCGGCGCCAAGGCGATTCTGACGACGAAGACCGACGCGAGAGACGACACCGGCGTAGCGACTCTCAGGACAGAGACAGAGGCAGCCACCGACGAAGGCGATCCCCGAGGTCGAGATCGCCTCGCCGCCGTGATTCAGGCGAGAAGGACGACTACGAGAGGCGAGACCGGAGAGAGCGTCGTGACGATCGTGAGAGAAGGCGCCAACCCTCTGTCTCAGACGAAGACCGTCCCGTCCGTCAGCGGGAGAGATCACCTCGAGGTTTTGACAGACGAAATGGAGATCGCAGTGGCGACCGTAACGGAGAAGCATCCGGCTCTCGCGACCGTAGACCCTACGACAACCGCCGGTTTGATCGCAACAGAGACACCCGAGGTGACGGTCGTGCCAACGGCAAGGCGGACGACTCAGCTGCAGATGAAGAGAGGGCAAGGAAGCTGGCTGCTATGCAAGCGGCCGCCTCGGATCTCGACACGGACCGAGACCGTCGTTTGGCTGCGCTCGAAGCACAGGAAAAGGCAGCACGTGAGGCCGACAACCAGGCCAGGGAAAAGTCTTCCAAGTACGGCGATAGGCAGTTTGTCAACGGTCTGCACCGCAAGGCTGGTAACTTGGGGCTGGCAGAGAGGCTTGGACGGGGAAGACAAGGTCTACAGAGGGACGACGACTGAAGGGCAGATGCGGACTAACTCGGCAAACACGTCAAGAAACTGTCCACAATCCCCGCTGGAAGCTATCTGTGGAGTCCGCGAAGGAGGCGTGAGGCGTTCGAGCACCGAGCGCCGACAAGTAGCGCCCGGAGAGGCGGGTCTGAGTACCAACGGCCAACGGCCAACGGCCAACGGATCGACCTCGCATACGCGGACGGGAAGGTTGGAATGGAATTGGGTCACGAGGGGTTTTTGGAGATGGATCTCCCCGCAGAATGGCATTGGACGTACGGTTAAACACGCGCTCGTCATGACCAAAATCTTCAGAGTGAAGAGTGGCATCCGGCAGGATATATGCGTGCATAGAATACCCCAGAATGACGATACGTCACTCGAAAGCAATACAGACACTACTACTGTTGGACATTTCTTGCCATTGTATTGCATGATTTGATGGTCTGTTTGTCCGATAACAGTAAACACAAGCACAAGTGATGCTTTCGCAGGTGCAAAGTACGCACACACGGGCTGCGGGAGGCGTTGTAGCACAGTCATCGGGCGGACTTCGTCGTGGCGGGGAAGAACTGAGAGGGCATCCGAAGCACGATGGAGCGGCACGCCGGCGCTTGGCGGGGCGGCGAGCTTCAGAATCCCTGGCGGTGCCTGCGGTTCAATGCGCGGGGTTGCGTTTCCTTGGAGGCTGGCGATGGCACCTGGCTCACTGATGGGGAAATTGGCAGACGTGGGTTGTCTTGGGATTGGGGCTGAGCGATGGCGAAGAGGGGTTGTGAGAGGCGATGAGGGGCGACCGACATGTTGCGATACCGAGCTTGCTTTCTCTCCGGCGAGATTTCGACCCGCCAAGCATACCGAGTTCTCTGTCTGCGACTGCGAGGGAAAATCGTGGATTTCGCGTCCGGGACTTCGGCAAGGGAATTCTAGAAGACCAAGACGGACGAAAGCGGCGCAGGGTCGGAGGCTGGACGGAGTGGGATGGGGTCCTGGGCTTTGGGTCTTTGGCCTTTGCGCAGTCTGAGATTTTGTTGGTTCCGCCAGAATCGACGCCGCTCTCGGGGCTTCTTGAGGATCCGGCAAGGCGGCGGGACAGATCGCCGGGATGTGCCTGTCTTGCTGAAGGCGGTACTTGGCTGGCGATGGGGTCAACTGTTTGAGTAGTGGGGGTTGTTTGTTTTGACAGAGCTCTGGTCTTGGAAGTTGGCCATGACGATTGGGGCGAATGAGTCGTACCTGTGGGCAGAATTATACTGAGCAGGCAGTGACTGCATAGACGAAGCAGGACAGGGACGGGATGGTGAAAGAGGTGCGGTGAAGTAGTGAAACTGGATTGCGTTGGCGTGTGCTGCTTTGAAGGATGGAGCTGAGATGGGATGATGCCGAAATAGAAGTCGGAGATCAGCAAAGATGGCGGTTGCAGATGCGAGTAAGCGTCGAGTGCATGCCTTGCAGTAGTAGCCACAGCTACCGGCGGAGAGTTTTGGAGGGCCGCGCGGGCACTGGTCTGGGATTTTGGCGGCGATGATCTGAATCTGCAATCTGACAGGGCGCGGCAACGGCACCGGGCGAGTTGAAGGCAGCGAAGAACTGGACGTGGACAGGCACGGGAACCCGACGATTGCGGCGTGCGGGCTGGGTTTTCAGCTGAGATGACGGTATCGAGGCATGTACCTGGTGTCAGACTGTGGGCGTATCAGTACACGATGCCCCTCCTTGCCGTCTTACGTCTTACCCAGAGCGGCGCTGGACGGGGCTTGAGTTGACGCCACCAAAGCTGTCGAACCAGGGGGGAAGGGAAGCCAAAAAGCCTAATGGACACTCGACTTCAGCTCACCTCACACACTGGACGCTTGACACTGGATGGATCGTGTTTTTTTCTTCTTTTTTTGCGGACCCTGCTTGTTGTGTTGTTCGGGCTGCTTCACATTGCAGATGTTTTTAATATGGATACGGAGGAAGGTGTTCGTCCACCAGTGCGAGGAAACGACGGAACAGGGCGATAAATGTTTTAGTGCATGCAGGACGTGCAATATGTGGCGGGGAAGATGCATCTGTTCCCCACTCGGCCTAGGAATTGTGCCTCACGGGTCCCGGTGTCTCTCCGGCGGAGGAGGAGGCGGCGGTGGTGATGATGATGTGCTGCGTGCAGTGACATTTCAGTGGTTGCCCGTCTGTGGTGGATACCTACCTACCTTACGCACCGAGGCCAAGCGAGGCGAGGCGGGCGGGCGAGGCAATGGATTCGTAAGGTAGGCAGGCAGGCATCGGGGAGACGACGACGATAATGGCTCTGCCCCCCGGGCTGTCGATGTTGATGTTGATGTCGATGTCGATATCGATGCTGGGGATGGTAGCGTATTGATGCTGACGTTCACGATGCTGACGGCCCAGTCCAATTGAACTTGCTGCGTACCCCTATGATGCTCCCTTGCTATTCAGCTGCTGCAGCTTTCTTCCCGCTCTACGGTCCAACCTGCTCTTGCCTTGTTGTTTTGTTTTCTTCTCGTTGAAATTTCTTCTTCAATTTTCGTCAACCTTCACTACCAAAACAGAAAGCACAGTCCCCCTCGTCCCTTCCACTTTACCAGCCTGGCCCTTGCAGAGCAAGAGCACGTCGCGAGCGCAGGTGCCTTCCACCCCGGCTGCCTGCCCGTTCCTGCTCTCTTTTCGGCCCCATCGCACAAGGGCTGCGGGTCCCTCTGACTTCATCTCCGCCAATTGAGCAGCGTACCATCCTCCAACCCAATTTCCCGCGTGCTGCACCCCCATCCGCTAAGCTATCCTCAATCCATTCTGTACCGCAGTACTAATAAGGTATTCTCCATGGATAGGGAGGGATAGCTAGGAATAGAGAAAAGAAGCATCTGCTATTGTCCCCTGATTGACGAACCTCCCTCCCTCTTCCTCTCTCTCTCTCCCACTCTCTTCTCGGATTGACTTTGCTCGTACTTTGTACCTGTACCTGTCTCTGTACCTGCACCTGCTGCTGTTGGCAGTTGCACCACTCGCACTTGCACTTGCACTTGCACTTTGCACCTGCAGTTCCACAGACACACAAAGCGCCCTCACGGCCAGGCCTGCACCTGCACCAGCACCAGCACCAGCAGCGCCTTCACAGTGTTCCCTTATTGTCCCCGCTGTTTCCTTCACCTCACCTGCTCCACGTCCTTCCCTCCCGCATTTC